CTACAGTAATTAGCTATGAGCATGAATAAGTTATTTATATCCGGCAGATGACTATGATCAGACTGCCGAATAATTTTATTATTTGGCAATTTTCGAGTTTAAAATAGTTTAATTTATTATTCGGCAGAATAGTGCTTTATATAACTAGAACATGTAATCGAATATTGCAAAATTCACTATAACCAGCTAATTGAATAATTTATTACATTTAATTTTACATATTATTTAAACACTACAATTATCTAAACGATATGTTAATTAATCGTAACATTGTCAGCGTTTATGTAATAATTTTTAATGACCACAGTTCCATCCGATCCTTCTTCAGAAGCTTGATAATTTTGCTTATACAATCTTTGTCGTCCACCAAGTGTAGGATTATTTTTTATTGCATTAATATGAGATGGGAGATGTAAAAGTTAATTACCATTTTTTAATGGTGTATGAAAAGGTCTTGTTACAGAATTCCAGTTTTTGACTGTATCGTTTAATACTTTGTTTGATAATTCAGATGCCGTAGAACTCAAATTTTCCTATACAAAAAATAAATAAGTAGAAAAATCGTAAAAAATTTTTAGAATCATTTTATTTATTATTATAAATACTGAAATATCTTGGATTTTGAAAATTCAACCTGATCATTACAAGTTACGGTAGTAGGTGGGTTTTTGGTATGAATCTGATTTTAATTAATAATAATTATTAATCATTATTTATTATTACGTATGCATATAATAAATCTAAAAATAATAAACACTTACCGGCCATAATCTTTAACAACTTGTTAAAGATTATGGCCGGTAAACATTAAATTGAAACCCAGGTTACTGGTTTCCCTTGGCATCATCGCGCTTTAAAGGTAATTTAATATTATTGATTAAGGTTGATAATGCATCTTCTTTTTCCTTTCCGGAAGGCCTTGCATAAACCTGATAAGAGGCTTCACTTTTGTGACCCGTTAATGCCATTGTTGTTACCATAGGCACCCCTTTTCTGAATAAGGCAGTTATAGAAGTTGATCTTCCAGAATGATTTGTAATACTACGATTTTTGATATCGATACCGACAATGTTACAAATATTTTTCATAAATGATTGACATGATTTTTCACCAAGTCTATTATCGTAATACCATGATTCTTGTGAATCATCTAAATTAAAATATTAATATGTTTTTTTTTTCGGTGTTAAGGTGATCTCTTGGTCAAGTGTGCTTTATTGATTTTGAATATGTTATACATATTTGGAGGGTACATCTAGTCATACCTGTGCCTTTTGAGCATCTATTTAAGTAGTCTGCCTATTACTAGGTTCTACACTAGTTGCTGTACCTGCAACCCACTAGGGGGCTACCCATATATACCCTCTGCGCCTATGTACTCTGACACCTACATCAATCGGCAAACATTTCTCCAGTTCTATGAACTGGTCTCTCTGGCACACGTTCACATGATGATTTAGGACTTTAAAGTGAACCTCTATCACCTTTATAACCTACTTCTGGTCCTTTATCCTTGAGGTAAACCTGGCAAAGCCCGCAGTATTCTCACTTTATACCGTACCTAGCCTGCACTTCAGTTTGGTATGCACAAGCCATGGTTCACCACTTGTGGCTCAGTTTGCCTATTCTGGGAGTGTGTGTGGCGCCGGGTCGAGGTCCTTGTCTACGGTTTTTCCTCTAGCTTAAATTTTCTTCTGTTTCTTTTTATAATTTAACCCCAGTTTGGCTGAATTCTGCTATCCAAACCTACTTCTGCCTTTGTAAAGTTCATTCAAACCCCAGAACTTACTTCACAGTATATTCCCAGTATTTTAGTAACCCAACTCCCTTTACCCAAACTTTCAATCCAGATAGCCCGGTATGTAATCATTTATTTTCTTCTGATTCGACAGCAGCCTAGTTGGTGTTGGTGATTTCATCTATTCATCAATAGCAGGGCCCCAACTCTAGTTCTCAACTTCCAAGCTAGATGGCCTGGTAACCGTGTACTTTTTCTCTGCATCTAGGCAGGTACAACAGGGTAAACATTCATGGTTACACAAGCTGCAGATTACTTCAGAGAAGTGATAACCAATCAAAAACGGTGATTTTAAAAATAAAAATATTAAAAAAATATTAACGTAGAGGGTGTGGTAACATAGTGCAGTTGGCAAGTTG